CTACATTACGTTGTTGTGAAAAATAACGCCAATTTTTTTTTTTTTTTTTTTGATACTTTTTTAAACGTTACCGTTTGGCGGTAACCGCCAAATAAGATGCTCCGGTGGCACGTTGGCTGCGTTCCCACCGAATACGCCTACCCTCCTCTGTCACATTTTTGGCAGTTTTTCAAACTTTAAGTCTTCCTCAGACTCCGACCACAATGACTTCTGTACTACTACCAACACCACCACTACCACTACTACACTTATAACCCGTCTGATTATAGTATTTCGAACTAACGCTTTCCGAGAGAAAACTTTGGGATCGAAACTGACTGAGAGCACAAACACTTGCGGTTTTCATCGTTTATAAATAAAATGCAAAACAAAAATGCATATATATATGTATATTACTTCATTCTACTATCACTACGACCGGAAAGCCCGTGTGCGGAAGTAAAGCGGCCTATACGGGTCAATATACGATTCGAAAACACTGATTACAAAAAAAAAACACTAAAGCTACATGGGAAGTTCCGGTGCCAAAACTTGGCTTGGATTGGTACTATTTGGCCAAATACTCGTAAAAGCGACCTCTATATAAATGCACTCTGTTTGCTTGTGTGTGACCCAAAATTCCCTCGTTGAAACCTTATTCGTATTATTTGTTTTGGCTACATATTCTTGTTGTTCTCATTAACATTGGGGTTTTTAAAATATCTTATAAATCTTATAACTATAATAATTGTGATTTTTGTTATATATGAGGTGTTTAATCAATAACTCTAGTTGCATAAATGTTTAATATAAGTTATCATGGCCATTCGGCATTCGTTGATTTAAGCTGAATGGCTTAAATTATTCAATTTTTGTGTAAATAATTGTTAATTTATTTTGAAAAATGTTTCAAACTTAATTTGATCATTTATGGATTTATCCTTGTTGTCATTAGTTAGCTCACGTTGCAAACCTATTGCATCTTCTGAGAAGTAGTCACCGTTCCACTGTCGTAACTTTATTGGCAATTAGTGTATCGCTTGTGTCCTACCGGTATTTGTAAAATTGTATATCCGTAGTTGCACCCGTGTTTTCTTCACCAAGTGATGTCGTATGGGTCATGTAGTTTCTTTGTTTTCTTTATTTCCTTCTTTTTTCTGTTTATGGTTGTTGTACTCTTTTGGCAATCTTTGCATTTTGCTCTTACCTTTCCATTTCTAAAATTTTCATTTATTTCGACAATAGCTCTTTCTATTGTTTGGTACTGATCGGATGGTTTGATATTTTGCGTGTTTCTTTTTTTCTGTTGAAAAATTGATTTCCACTTATTTCTTTTTTTTCAACTATCTTCTCAATTGCAATTTTCTAGCCATTTTTCAATTTCTATTGCTTCTTTGAACACAAACTTTGAACTGTATGGGTTGTAAGCTGTTTTTTGCATGTTCGGCTGTCGCATTTTTTTTTTATTATTTTGTATTCTACATCTTTCTCGTACATAAAAATACCGGTAGTAAACAAGCGATGCACTCACAATCAGTATGGCCGTAAGTCATAACAGTGGAACTGTGACTATTTCTATGAAGATAGACCCTGCGATGGATTCGAAACTTCAGCTAATTTATGGCAACATGGATAGATCAAAAATTGATTAAATTAATAATTTCTACTGTTTAAATAAAATGTAAAAGACATTTAAAAAGTCAATTTATACATGTTTAACGATTAAAAGCTGTTAAATGTTACAAAAACAAAGCCTTAAGCTTGGAAAATGTAAATATTTACATTTTTATTTTATTTATTTACTCTTTATATATAAAATAGGAATGGTTAAAACGTATTTATTTTATAGGCTTCAACTCTAATGTGTTTTTAGATTGGTATTTGTTGCATAATTGAATTTGTGACAAACGGGTGGGTGACATCGCTAGAAAGTTTCGTTAGTGACTCGTGTATGTATAGCGTTTTGGCTAACGAGAATGTTGTTATAAACTAATTAAACGATTATTTCCTGTCATTCGGCCTACAATTTAATACCACAGCGCATTGTATAATAATATATTGTTATGATGTAGTACATATTGTTCATCTTTCGTCTGGTACGATATTAATCAGCCGACCAACAGATGTGACTTAATTGAACGGCGGATATAAACTTATCGCTGTACAATACCTATTTATTATATAGCACAGGAGCAGGCACGGCGCCAGAATTTTTTTCCTAGGGGGGCGGGAAAGGTCAAGTGAATTTTTTGGAGGGGCAACCACAATAATTTTACCTACTTCTGTCAATAAAAAACAATTATAATGATTTATTAGTGAATTACTTTAATATTTATCAGTGAAATAGTATAAAATATGAATTTATTACAGATTAAGGGACAATATATACTAGTGTACAATTTAAGTAAGGTAACTTTTTTAAATAAGCGTTATTTTTACCTGTCGGCCATCATATAGCTCTTATTGTACTCTATGAAAGTCGAAGTAAAAATGAAGGCTTATAAAACGCCCTACAACCAGTCAGTGGAGATTATAGTTATCGTGTTATACCTACATTCTATTAAACCAAAAAAATCCTTCAATAAACACTGAGCTTTTGGAAAACACACACACAAACGTAAATATTATAATTATATATATACACCAAAACACATAATTATATGGGCGACGGATTATTGAAAACCGATTGCAAAAACACTCAAAATATATTGATAAAAAAAGGCCACATTTAGTGGCAATGTCATAACTAATAACTAAATTTGTATAAATTAACAGGTTTAAATCAAAACAACAATTGTTTTCACAGTTTCCGTATTAACTAAATTTGTATATATAAAAATACAGTTATTCAAAATCTGGGTTTTAGGAATAATAATCAAATATTTAAAATTATACTATTTAGCAAAATATCTGGGGGGGGCGAGAGAAGGGCAAGAATTTGTTATGAGGGGGCGACCGACCACCCTCGCCCCCCCCCCCCCCCCCCCTTGGCGCCGTCCCTGCACAGGAGCTCGAAATGTGGGACGAAAAGTAGAGGAACACAATTATACTGTTTACAATGTTCTCATTTTATACACTTGTAAATTATACAAATATAATAACGATACATGGAATTATGTATATATTGGCTTTTGCGTCCACTGTCGTTCATATAAGAAATTATAGTAAAGGAGCTCAGTTCTTAGAAGACTAATTCGAGTAATGTATGACCAAAGGAAATTATTGCCGGTGTGGATCTTAAACTATGAACTATGCACATACATTTTCTACGTAACTTCCCATGACCAAGTACTATTATTTTAATTATCATAAATTGGTCCTAACCGATTTAAGGGATAATTTTGATCGCGCGAAGTTGTTTTCTTATCATCGAATTATATTGACAAAAAAAAACATAATCCTCCAACAGGTTTTTTAATTGATGTTAAATGCTATATTGTTTCGTATCAGATACCATCACTTATACTACAGAATGGTAGCGTGCCGTGTGGGGTGGTACGAAATAACTCTGTTTTATCGATCATCAATCGCGGGACGCCAATTACATTGGTCGTTACTGTTAGCTTGGGAAAAAGACAAATGACGTTTTGTCAGCTAGAGAAATATATGCATTAGGTAAATGCGAATGAAGAAAAAAAATCAGTTATGTTAGTATGGGTCTTGGGACGCAAATACGTCTCGTCACGGTCTAATGTGCTTTTTGGGTAAAAACGCAAGTCGAAAATAAGATTTATAGTGTCCGTTCGGTTTAATAATACATACACGGAACAGTTATCTTTAATCTTGTAAAAGGTGATTTATTTTAAGACACTTTTTTTCATGCAGCAAACATTACAGGTACCTACCGATTGCATACGATTTTCTCGAAATCTCCTCAAGTGTCTGAGTAAGCGATGCATAATGATTTATATCATTCAATTTACAACAACCATTCTCTTTTCACCGACACATGTGTATCAAATTGTACATTATTTTAGTATTTGTTCGATTCTCCCTTAGGTCTTACATTTTACCGCACCGAAGTTTTTACAATAATGTGTTTTTTTTCTTCTAAAATACGAACTTTACCATGGTTTTGCGTGTTGCGATTTCTTTCATAAAACCATTTTGTCGATCAGAAAATGTATCTAGACGGTGCTTTACTAGGTAAAATATGAAAAAGTATATTCTTACCTACTATAATAATAAAATGTATATACAATAGACGATACGACTATTTATCTTATATCGGGAAAATGTACAATATTTATTATAAACGTTTCACCCAGTATTTTATGCACGTCTATTTTTTTTTAATTTAAAATACAATAGTATGATTGAGAATTTAAAATCACTCTAATAATATTTTAAATGTAACTCACAGTTTTTGGAAACAGTTGGACAATATATTTTTGTCATTTTTTAACTTCCTCCCACACAAGGATTACAATTGCAAGTTTTTCAAACTATAGTAGTTATTCAATATGACTATGTACAAGTACTTATCTGATTATTTTGCCTAGAAATATGTATGTATGTAATATAATCGAGGAAAACATATTTTCTATTTAGCTATAAAGAGCACTGAGCTAAGCAAATAATAATTATAACTCCTAACATATATTACATTATTATAACCAAACAAATGGATGTTTGCCAATTAAATGGGTTAGTATCCAATCTTGCGAACGGAAGTAAAAACTTGGATTTATTACAGAGTTCACAAACTTTATATATGTCCTATCTAAACTAAACTGTGCAAATAATACATTTCAGAAGTTAATACTTGGCACCGGACGCTATTAGAAACTCGCAAAGCCCTATTTAAAGTTAAAATATCATTTACCACCTATAGTTTAAAAATAACTTTTATAGAACAAAGTTAAAATTAATTTAAACGATAGCGTTGCTGTATATTTTTATAATATTTAATTGTGTAAAAATAAGTTTAAAACTTCTGTACGAATGAAGTATAATGAGTTTTAATATTCATTATTTACCATTAAACATAAAAAAAAAATATATTTTATATTTTATTACAGGAACGAGGATTGACAAGTGGAAACGGCACTGGACCTTTGGACAACATGCGTAATTTAGAACATTACTTGAACGATATTATGCACTCCGGCGGGGATAACCCAGAACACGCCAAAGGTAAAAGTCAAATTTAATATTTTGTTTATTTTTGTGATACTTGTATTCGTAAAATATTGACTTCGTTTAGTAGTTTTTTGCTTTTTTCCTATTATTATAGATCGCCAAAAAACCCTTATACTAAAAATTATAAAATCAGCTAAATTATAGGATAAAAATAAAACACGGGAGAATTCAAAATAAAAAGCAATCTAAATGACTTTAAAATGACATTTAATGTAATCAACACTACTAACTATCGCCAAAAAAGTTTGAAAAGTAAAAAATATATTAAGTGGTTACATACACAAACCATCACCCCTCGTCAAGTAAACCCCATACAAGTTGGTCAGTTGCAAACAATCGATAGTTTCATTGAGCTTCGACAAACATTGATTATTTAATTAAAATTTCAATTGTACAAAAACACACGTGGGGTTCTGTGTCTTTTTTAGGAAAGGGGTATAAGCCCCTTAAGGCTGAAGCCTTCTCTGAAATTTTAGGATGTATAAATTATTTATTACAGTTCAGTCACTTTTCAATTTTGGTAAATCATAGGTTAGTCCTCCTCGAATAAAATCCTGGCTAAGCCGCTGGTATGATGGTTTTATAAAATTACTAAATATTAGAATATATATTTTTTAAACATGGTATCTCAATAAAACAAGCCCAAATTTGTAATTCTCTATTTATATTCCCATTTAGACAATTTGTTTATCAGTACTGAAAATTGTTTCAAGACATAAAACCGGTAGAATTTATCCTTTTTGTTTTACACCGTTATCTGCAATAATATATGTGAATAAATATAAGCGTATTTCCAATTACAATTATTATTATTCTTAAAGGTATAATTTTATTTGATAAAACGATGTGAACACTTCTACTATAAGTCTTACTAGCTCGAGTTGTTCGTTTTATCCATAAGCCTGGAGGCATTTGCTCAGTATTTTATCAATTTTGTCCGTTTTTCTTTTCACCCGACACTGGACACGGCTATTGTCGAAAATCTAATAAAACTGAAAGGTAAGACACGCCAGTGGTGTTTGTCAGGCTATAGAACTTACAACGTTTTGGGGTCCAGAGGGGATTGGTTAAATCGGCGGTCGGTCGACATTTTATAATGGGTCGTCGAGAACCATCAGATGAATAAAGGAGTTGATAAAGTATCGTAGCTATATACAATGTTAAAGCGCGTCATGCCTATCGTATACAAATATTTTTTTTTTCATTCGGAGATAACTTTTTTTTATTCATCTAACCGCCACATCCACGTTATGTGGTGGATTCAATAAATAATAAATTACATTTTTTTTTCGAACCTATATTAATTACATTTTGGAGCGGATGTATACAGAATATCGAATGCACACTAAATGGAAATTCATTATATTAGTGAACCCGTCATTTGTATACATTTTAATTACTATTCTGTCCTAGTGACATCTTAATTAATTTTAAACAAAAGTGAACATTTATGATTTCTTTTAATATCGTATACGGATAAGTACATAACGTCTTAATTTCTACGTTCATGAAGCTTGCATGTTATATTACATGCTTGTATATTAAGAGTTTCTGATATAAAATTACTAGATATTTGAGTTTTTTGTGCTCATTACGATGTTTATCTCCAAGTACTTAATGATATCGAACACCGTTTCATTTGACTTCGGTTGCATTCCCTCGTGTGTCGCAATTACTATCTCGTGGCTTAAAACATGTTTACATTTATAATGATGCGTTCCAATTCATTTAGAGTTTACGTCGAAGCTTGTTATCTCTAGTTACAATTCAATTTTAAGTTATGGTAGTTCAAGTAATTGAGTTGTGCATGACACGTAGACTATTATCGATTGCTTTAAAATTGATGTATTCCACAAGGTATCTACTTACTTTAAATAACAAAGTTTGCAATTTTAACTGTCTAACATTTTTTTTTAATATTAAAAGCAATCTTGTGTATGGCGTAGTAAACGTCAAGCAAAATAATATTATTATGTTAGCACTACAAATTCCAAATAATCAACATAAGCGGTCGCGTGGAAATTATTACTTTATATATTAATAATAAAATCCCATATGGCATACTAGTATACTACAGTTTCGAGTTTTGGTAATTTCTTCCTTGACGTGGAAGCTGAAATTGAATTATAACAGCAGTCCTTTTGTGTCACAGCCTGATCAATACTAGCTTCCCTAGAGAATTTAATTTTCATTTGTAGGTTTGAGTACTAAATCGACAGAAACCGAATGTTTTATTATTTGGTCTACGCCCAAGATAATATAGAACCACCGGTTTATCAAAAAGACAAAATAATGATAATCTGTCTAATATTAATAAACATTTATCAGTTATAACATTTACTAATACAGTTTTAATGGAAATGAGGATATTAAATATTACAATTTTGACTTTCATTTGAAATATTGATAATGTTAATAATAATAAATTCTTTATTATTATTTACTCATGTACAATTATTTTATTTATTTTATTCATTCTGTTTAAGTAAATTGTTCGACTCAAATTCGGGTTATTTTATTTAAACTCTTTTAAAGTGTTACGTGTGTTATTTTTTTTAAAGATTTTGTAAGTTAATTTTAATATTTTGTGTAGTTCATGATTTCAGAAATCGATCAACGCGGTAGATGCATTTTAGTATTATACAACCATTTTTAATTATTTTTTTTTTTTCATTTAATTATTTATCATTTATTTTTCAAAACGGAAAACTTTTAACCTTTTGTTAACCTCTTCTCTTTTATCCGGGTCCTTTGCGCTTATGATCAGAGATACTATATAATGCTGAGATGAATAATACTTCCCGTGAAAGCATGATAGAATGATTGTAAAGAAAACTAAACGAGAAACCTAGATCCATGTGCCTACAGAACCTATAGTAACAATAATAATAAGAAGAAAAGGAAGAAGGAGAAAAAAAAAATAAAGGAGTTAAGAGTAATGATGGAAAGTATTGTAGCGCGAGGTTTTTTTTAAGTGATGAAAATCTTAAATAAGTAAAATAAACGCCTGCGAGTAAAATTGTAAAACATTAATGCCTTAATGCCCAATGGGTTATACTTATAAAGTGACATCGTTTAAAAATTCAAGTATAAATTTTATCTTAATCAAAATATGCGAATATTCATAATGGCAGTCAAATAATTTTTTTTTAATTTTGTAACTAATAAAATTAATTAATAATAACTGATATGCGTTAGCTAATATTTAATAACAATTAATGACAATTTAATTTATTTATTTTAAAATATTATTATACAACTTTAATTATTGAAAATAAACAACACTATAGTATTTTACCTTATTACGTAATTCCAATCCATTGATCATATTTAAATAAAATAAGAGAGAGAGAGAAACAACCTTTTAATGATATACAGGTCGATCAATTTAACGTAAGACATGTCGTAAATATTGTAAAATTACTAAATGTTTACCTTTTTTAGTATTAATATAGTAATATTTATAATAAAATTAAAGACTACTATGACGTAGAAAAAAGATGGGTCTCCAAAATTTGTATTACTTTCCAAGAATATGAATGTCTTACGTTAAATTGGTTACCATGTTAAATATAGAAAAAGTAATAAAAATAATTTTAAAAAAATAATATATTTTCAATATTTGTACTCGGTATTTGTTATTGGCACTTAACCCACGCTGTGGTTGTAGCTTTCGATTTATTTTATTACACCCCCCTAATAACAGTATCAAATTTGTTCATTTCAATTTCCTTATAGATTTCTTAGTATGACTGCTATAACGTTGTGGGGCCTCAGTTTTGTAGGCACGTCGACGGATAAATTGCCAAACCACCATATTGATTTATGAAAGCTCGGATTTTGACGGACACAGAAATTATGACCATCTATTTATTTATGTGCAAACCTGCGCGCATTGTTTTTTCCATCCATTACGTGCGCACAGCTCAAATTTATATATACGTATTTGTTAAATATATAATTATATTTTCTGTTTTACGATACGATATTTGCAAGACTTCCTTTGGCTGTCTGATAAAATATATCCATATCCGTGTTATTAGTCTAGGACATATTATTTACAACTTTTTATCTTTTAATACCGCGTTTTCTATTTATAAACTCGTTCCCGGTGACAACCACAATCAAAAAACTACATTGGGGGGTTTCTTTCTCCTATTCATTCCCGACAACATATTTATCATTGTAAGGTCTTCCTCGTCGTCTGTGCTCGATTTTGTCGGCAAAGGGCGGACGGACGGACGGCTGAATACGTTTAGTAATTTATGTCAAGCCTAATAGTACGGAATATTTATGAGAAGACCGCGACAGGGACAAATGTTTTTGCTGCGCTCCGTCCTTTCCATACCGGATCACTGCTGATTTTTTTTTGTACAAGACTTTAGTTTGACCTAGATTTTTGAAGATCTGAAAAAACCCCTTTTTTCATTTATCAGTGTCACGCGATGACAAGTTTAACTTCTTTTCGATTTTTAGATGTGCTCTAATCGTTCTTAGCGTCACTACCGCCCACGTTCTATCGTTATACCAGGCGCTTGGGCATAGGCAATTTTGGTACACACATGCGTGCCGTAGAGCTCGATTGATTACTAAGCCTAAAGGAATATTTTTGTTTTGTTATAATTTTCTATAATAATCGAACACATACAGTTACTGCTATTCGTAAGTAATACACACAGTCGTTATCGTTTCGATAATTCGCTAGTTTACTATACTATTACACTATTATACTATTATACTGTATCATTATAATTTTCAGGCCGAAATTTGGGTGAAATCCGCGTCTGTCGAAATTAGTGTTTAACGTGACTTTTATTTGCGTTAATAAGTTTTAGCATATTTCACAGATTTAATATTTAACAAAGGCTTAACCTGCACAATTTGTAATCAAAAAATGAAAAAAAAACCGCTTCGAACGCAATTTTTTACGGCGACAATAAAACAAAATGTTTAAGAAAAGTTTATAAAAAAATAACGAACAGTTTTTACTCCTA